AGGCAATTCACACTGAATTGCTGTTTTGATGAAGGCAAATGCCTGATTATTTCGAAGACAAACGACTGCTCGTTCTTTCTCGCCCCAATATCCTCTCCAGCGCTCCAATGATCGTTGATTCCGTTGCTAAGGCCGACTGGTAGATTGCGCTCATTCATTTATTCAGTAGATAAGGTTGAAAAGGTAAGAATATTGTGAGGACAAAAAATTGGAAATAGATTTTTTAAGAATATTTTTATAAAAAATTACTACTCTCTAATCTAACGCTAGAATGGACCCATTGACGATTAAAAATTATTCTAATAAACAAAAGGAACATAACCGAATAGTTTAAAGAGCAGACATAGTTTGAAAAAGTAATCGCACAATTTTTTCCCTGTCCCACTCCACCTCTCTTTGTTTCTGAGCGTAGCAGAGGGTTCTCAAAATGTACTTTAGTAAACTTCAATTAAAATAATTACACATCAGGACAGGCAGGAAAAAAATTTAATCCATAATTGAACCATTATATCAACGTTATTATCAAGGAAAAAAATGTACTTGCTGTTTGCATTACTGCAAGGTAAAATCCTAGTAAAACAGGGGAATGAAATAAATTGATTAAATTGGATATGTCCTTTGATAAGCTTCAAAACATTTGGAACTCCTGCTTCCTGACAAAAGAAAGATACTTTATACTTAAGGGACAATTTTGAGAAATATGTGTATAGGTGCTAAGTGTAGCACAAATAGCTGATTTTTCTTTCATAATTGCCAAGATTCCTAAAGTATATCATAAAGATTACCAGAAAACGACTTGCAGCACAGTTTTTGCTAAGACTAAATCACTAACGACTTAAAAATACAAGGCAATTTTTTGAAATCAACATTACCATCAAAACGCAAATTTTGCATTGCTGTTTTAGTTCAAAATTGAAGTTTTCACAATTTTTACAGGCCATGCCAAACAAGTTTGGTGTACAAAAATGTCACAACCTTTCCCCAAAAGAATGTTTGACAAATAATAAGGACACATTTAGAATCGGAGTTTGTGTTGCATTTTTCTATACACACTCGCTTCATAACTAGCAATTCGACTAAATTGCACTCCTAAATAAACACTTAGAGGTAGAAATTCATCCTGGGGCAAAGATAAAACTTACCAACTTTCAAAAAGCAAAGTTGATTATTCTCAGCCCCACTGTCATAATGTTATCTTTTTACCTGAGGTAACCAAGCTAAAGTCAACGAGATTTCGAGTTTATGAATCTATTTTTTTCTGAAAAGCAAATGCAAAGCTTATTTGTCTGAGCGAAGCTTATGGAGTCACAGCAATGGGATTTGTATGCTAATCTCATGCAGATATAATTCTAAATCGACGTTGTATATCGGGGATTTGTGGTCGACGTCGAAAAAACTTTCAAAACATTTCTGGCGAGTCCCAAGCAATTCCTGCAAGTGTGAATCTTCTTTTAGAAAAATAAAAGCTATTGGAACGGAAATGGGACTTTTTCCCCTTTAACAGATGCACAAGTGGAAGTGCTAAGCTCATCCATGCATACTGGGATAACCAATTGCCGATTTTTAAGCATAAAAAACCAATCTAAGGTTTTCCACAACCTATGTAAGGAAGAGGACTTTAAAATCTACAAATGGCAAGATAACTAACTAACATTAATATTCACTCCGTAAAGAATAACCGCCACTAAAAGTTGATGTTCTTCCGAAAATGTCCAAAGTCCACTCTTCCGAGACTTATTATTCACAAACGGGGAGTTGTACTT